ATATGAATCTAATAAAAACTCAATTTTCAAAAAATTGTAAAAAAGGGCTGTTTTAATAGATAACACCCCATATATTATCATTATACAATCCTATTTATAGAGCAAGTTAAATAGCAAAAATGTTAACAAGAATGTATATAAGAATCTATCAAGAAGTAGATCATTATATTATGAAAATCAATAAGAAGTAGATTATTATATCATCAGTAAAGATGTGTTCTAATAATTATTTAATATAGTTATAGTATATTACGACAAATTCACAGCATCATCGCCTGCACCTCTAGTCATGAGAATTAATAATAAATATAGATCATTATGTCATAAGATTACTATACCAAATCAAACCCAAGATTTGTATATGAATACAAAACTTGTTTCACTATATCCCTAATATAATGTTGACATATAGAAATCAATAACTTAACTGAATCAGCTGAAAAATCAATCAGCTAATTTTTTGTCAGGTGTTCTAGAAGTTATGAAAACAGCTATAATGATGATATTGCCTTAAGAATTATCAGTAGATCTAGACTGGAATGTTTAAGACTAGATTGTTATATTGAATTAGCTACAAAATGTATGAATAAAGATTTTGATAAGCAACCTACTATAACAGAAATTATTGCAAGTTAGTTAAATGAAATGGATCAAAAAGATGATAATACAATCAAACAACAATTTTTGAGTATCAATAAAATTAAACCAGAGTCATTAAACAAATACATTCACAAGATGTTTATACTAGCAAACTACATGATACACAAAAATTTTCGAATATATCTGGGTCTAACTACAAACTTGTTTAGCACCAAAAAATATATATTCAGACTCAGACCAGTCTGCAGACTTAAGACCAGACCCAGACCAAACTCAGACTTAACTAAAAAGTCTGAATATAAAAGTTTGAGTCTGGTCTGAAAATCAGACCAAACTCAAACTTAACTAAAGTCTAGTTCGGGTCTGGTCTGTAGAAGCACTAACCCCAAGTATAAGATTGTACCTGCAGATAAAATGCAAAGTATGCTCTTCTATAATTTTTCCTTTTGTTAAACCATCCTCCTTGATTATAATATCCTACTCTTTCTTCTGACCTAGAACTTTTATGTGCCTTCTGAAGTAAATCTTAGAATTCATTGCTTATACCTGAGGTTGGTTTTGAAATCTTTGCTGCTATCTTCTAACTTTCTTCTTCCGTTATCCTAAGAGTGAATACTTTTAATTTTAACTAATCTTGTACTTCCTGAACCTTTTCCACAGAGTTCTCTTGAATTGCATCATGAAGTAAGATACCCACATCACGAATAGAGTTGTACTTATTTTGATCATGTAGTCTTCTAAAATTCTTTTTCCAGAAAGCTTGACTCTGCTATATTACTTTGATCTATACATCTTAATTGAGTAGACCACTCCTCCAGGCTCCTATCCAATACTGTTGACAAAGAGTTCTCTAATTTTCATTTATCTTACTTTTCACAAACTCTAATATTTCTTGGTTCTGCTTTATAGACTTCTTTGATAGGATATTATTTACTGACTCTCTCTCTGTGGTTGAATCTTGTTTATCCAAATTTCTTCTAGAACTAGATTTTTTTCAAAAAACTTTTAGATAGCTAATCAGCTCCATTTTACTACCATCCACAGGCAGACTATATTTTTTGTATAGTTTTTTTAAGTCACTAGTTCGTAACCTACTCTAATTTACTACAGAGCTATTTTTCTCCTGTGCTTGTTTCTTCATTAACAACTTCATTTATAGTATTTGTGCTTCCTCCCATTTTATTTATAAAACTAAGTTTCTGTAGCTACAGTAATAACTTGTTTAGCGACTATGCTAGACACGAATGTCGAGCAGTGAAAAACAGAGACAAAGATCCCAAAGACTATACAATATCTTAAATCTTTTCCTCAAATTAATTTTATATTACTATACTAATATATACAAAATCTTGATTTTTATGCAGCATTCATATGCTTATTTTCAAATTACGCCTAAGATTCCAAGATTCTCATGGCTTCTGCATAGTCTCATGACTCACAATAATATATCGCTTTGTGACTTCGTTTACAAACAAAACATTTAAGAGTTATGTCAAAAGAAAATAGATCTGCAAAATTTCAGATCTTCATGTAACATAAACAAATACTAACCCTAATGTAATAGCAGAGACAGTACCTGGTTCAAAGTGAATCTTTCTTGCCTGTGATCAATCACAAATTCAATTGTGATGGATATAATCCCTCACCAGTTTTAATATATGTGTAATATTAATGGTCTCTGCTGTTCCCTAACATTAAACAAAAACTGTTAAACAAAAAGAGTATTATTATTGAAACTAGCGTATAACCCATGCCTCTGTCATGGGAAGTGGTAAAATTTATCAAATAAAAAATTATTTTTCATAATTTTAAAAAATTTATTGCTTTAATATTACCAGAAAGCAAAAGAAACTTTATACGAAGATTATAAATTAATATAGAAAAGTATTAATTTATTTCAAATTTATAGAGAACATAATATAGATAGATGTAATGTGTAGTGTTCTGAAGTTCAGTTCAGTTCAATTTAGGTTCAGGTTCAAGTTCAATTGAACCTGAACTGAACTTTAAATT